ACCCAAAATATCCCTGAGGCCCAAAGAAGTAACCGAGCCTAATGAATACTAGACAGAAACAATAGACTCCCGAACAGCCTCTTACCAACTGGTTATTTCCCGTTCGGTTATTCCCGAACGGATTGAGTATAATACTTGTCAATAAGGAGCATCATTCATGGTTGCTGATTAGATCAACCCAAAGAGCTGATCGGTGAGCAAGTGGCAAGGGGTGCATTTAATGCTAGAGGTATGGAGGATCAAGTAGGGGCATGGGGGTCAAGTGGCAAAGAATTCATCCAACCAGAATCGGCCACATCATCCACCTCACCAACCCCTCCTTAGTATAAATAGCACTATAGCAGTCTTTATTTCATTGTAAAGGGTTACCATTTTGATACTTATTAGCAATAGATCATTCTAGCTCTTATATTAGCAACTAGACTGTAACCCCCATTCAGCCATTTCCTTGTAATCAACCTTATTATTCTAATACAGTTGAGTTGTCGAACCATTTCGTCATGTGGATCACCTTTCTCATTTCCCTCTCTTCATTAGCATATTAAAGATATTCACAAGATGATGTTGGACATTTGGATCCACACGAATTAACCTCAACAGAGCTAATTTAAAAGTTTAATTTTTTTTGAAAAGCTACATATAGTAATCTTTGAGAGAAAGATTGTTATTAACACGTACATGTTACTTACAATAACTTGTTATCGTAAAAAACAGAATCAAACAATAAACTTTTATAAAACAGTACGTTTCAACATTTTTCTTGTAAGATTTCCGCAGTCATTACAAATGAATATAGAGTAAATACTAAAAGTTCAAATAAAAACCAAATCTTATTAATTAACTGTCCCACATATCCCAATGTCCAACATTTTTTTGTTTCACAAAAATATGGATATGGATAAGTCGTATTTGAGACGCAGACACTTTCATATATATTGCTGACCACACATGTTCCGTGGCTGATTTGATGGAACAACTAATGGTGGATGAAAGGTTACGAAAGATTATAATTATTTGTGTATATATTATTATTAATTGAATTGGTTGGTCATCCTTCTACGAAATACTCATCCGTCATGAAGGACACGGTGGTTTTGTTTAACCATCTTATCTTTTGAAAAGAGCAGATAAGTAGTATTGATGTCCTTTAATTTCATCCTATTATTAGATATGGTATAAAGTTTGAAGTTTGAATATCTTATTTAAGTACACAAGCTTTGAGCTCGAACTCTATTAATTAATGGAGACATACCTAACGCTCTTTTTGAGGGCCGGTCTTGTCTATTTTCGGACTTAGAAGCGAGATAATTTCATTCACTTATATTCAGGACAAACAATAAACTGACTTATTTAAAATAATAATTATAATAAAATATTTTATTATTTAAAATATATATTTGATGAAAAGTAACAATACAAGTATCACATAAAAAACATTAGTTAAAAATATTTCTAGCAGAACATTGTGAATCAAAATCATCAATAATTGCTTCATAAAAAATCTTTTCCAATATCTCATGCTCAATACTTAAAAGGGAAATTACCCGAAATAGGAGCAAATGACATTTGGAATTCCAAAAATAGGACTAGTATATTTTTCTTCACGAAATAGGAGTTATTACTGTCATGTATGAAAAATACTGTTATGATTGAAAAATAATGTCATTAATTATAATAAATATTGTCATGTTAAAAGCACTGTACTGCAACTATTTGACAGTCACGTCTACAAGATGACAGTAAATACTGTCATGTTAGTCTCATTTCGGGAATAAAAACAAAGTAGTCCTATTTTGGAATTTCAAACTTCATTTACTTCTATTTTGGGAAATCTCCCTACTTAAAATTGCTAACCCCTTAAGCCTTTCTTAAGACATAGTCGGTCGCAAATAATTTATCAGAATCTTTGACTTTGAAAAACATTACTTAAAAACGTTTCTCGCGGAATTTCAAGATTCAATTTCTTTAAGAAAAAAAATTCCATTGAGTGTGCCTTTCCTAATCTTCTCCTCTTTCTCTCTTCATTCCAACCCGATGCACCCATTTCTTCAAGAATAGTTTATTGGTCATTATTGGATTGTTTGAAGCCTTGAAAGATAAGTTTTTTGGTCACCGACTGCCATTTGGCCTCCTCGATTGATTGGCTTCTTAACAAACCGTTGAGGCACTCACCGCCTTGCAGTGTTCTTTACTCTTGTTGATTTTGGAATTTGGAAACAACGAATCAATTTGGATGGACCTTACCAATATGGAGTTTTGGAATCGGAAGGCTTAACATAACTTGGTAGTATTGTAATTAAAAGGATTATAAAGCATAGAGATGTGAAGACAATTAAGACAAACGTGCCTCCTTACATTTATTTTAAAAATTAAACTTTGGGCCTAATTAATTGAGTTTAAAAATTAAAAAAATAAGCCTACTCACGCTACATACAGAGAAATATTTTCGGGGCTATTTTTTCTTACATTTTTCTTGGGCCTAAGGCGGGCGACCCCAAACTTGTTAAAAGCGCTCAAAAGCGCGCTTAAGCGCCAAAGCGCAGGCGAGCACCGGTTCCCCGCCTGGCTTTTGGGAAGAGACTCGCCGTGAGAAAGCTCCGCTTTTCTTTCGCTTTTCGTGAGCTCGCTTTTCAATTAAGCGACCGCTTTTCTGAGCTTTTCACAAAAAGCGAAGGTCAATTTTTTTTTTAAGTTTTAAGTGTCATCGGCCTCACACTAGAAATTAGGGTTATGTTCGTTTGATTCTTTCCACGTACCAGACAACGTCGCAGGTGAAGAAGTCGCAAGTGAAGAAGCCGTAGGTGATGAAGCCGCAGGTTTGGAGTTCGCCCAGACTTCTTTTGGGCTAGAAATCTCCAACTCGCCTGTGAGCCGCACAATCTCTTTCGCGTAAACATCGTTCTTCAGTCTTCACTCTTCAGGTTTACTCTGTTTTTTTTTTAATTTGAAAACTTTCAGTCTTATTACAGACTACAGAGACTTTAGCCTTTGCTCTGTTTTCTTCACTCTTTAGCTAGTTACATAATTAATTTATCAACCTCATTTTACTCCACTAAATTAAATTTTAGTTTATTCATTTCAGTTTATTGATTAATTAGTTTTTAGTTTATTCCAGTTTTTTCCTTTCATTTTATTGATTAATAAATTTTTAGTTTATTCCTTTCAGTTTATTGGTTAATTAATTTTTAGTTTTTTCCAGTTTATTCCTTTCATGTTATTGATTAATTAATTTTTAGTTTATTCAAGTCTACTACTTTCAGTTTATTGATTTATTAATTTTCAGTTTATTCCACTAAGTTTATTGATTAATTAAATTGTACAGTTCATTTACACTTGCTTGATTGTATATTTGTGAAATATGTATATGTAAACTGTAGACAAAATGTCTAGAGAACAATCTAAAAGTCAAGATCCTCAGGGGAGAAACACTACTTATGCATTTTTGGCTTAATTATACATTATATATATTATTTTTTTAATATTTTATAAGCATCGCTTTTTGTGAGAAAGCTACGCTTCGCTTAGCGCTTTCGCTTTTAAGCAAAGCCCAAGGTCATCGCTTTTGGACGCTTTTCGCTTTAAAAAAGTTTGGGCGACCCTGTTGCTCCCCTCCCCCCCTCCCCCCAGGTCCGGCCCTGCTCTTTTTGGATTCACCAACACCTAAATTATGATAAATTAAAGGATCAAAGATTTAAGTTAAGGTAACCATTTTGCAAAACACTTGAGCATTTAATTTTACGCTTTGAATTATAGAGAGATACTTCGTAACTATGATATATTCTTTATATAATTTTTTTGGATTTTATTAATAATTTATACTGAAAATATAGTATTGTATTTGTGTAGCATTTATAATTCAACAGATCCAATCGTTTCAGCCAACTATAATGTTATAAAATAGTTACTTGATGGATTATTTTAAAAATTAAAGAATGCTGTAAACACATATTTATTTGGATTGGGATGTAGGCATGAAGTAATATAATTTTGATTTGTGTGTAACAAAATAAGCGAATATGCGTAGATCACCACTTGATTCTTGAGTGAATTACATAAACACGACAAAAAAGTGGTCAAAGAGTACAAGTAGGACTACATCTTTTAAATTCCATTACGGTAAAATTATTTATGTGTGTTTGGACAAATATATCCTTGAAGCTTTTGAAATGTTTTAAATAATAATAAAATCATTAAAAAAATTGTGAAAAAATAATAAAAATCATAAAAAAAATCATAACAAATTATAAAATATTTATAAAATAAAAAATTAAATTATTTTTTATGTAAAAAATATTTAAGAAAAACTATAAAAGAAACCGCCACCTCTGCCACCCCCCTGCACCACCAGCTCCCATCAACGGTTGAAAATATGCCAACATTTTTAGTAGTGCCATAATAATGGTAGATTCAATGAAAATTTTGACATTATGAAGGGTGATAATGGCATTATGAAAAAATAGTATTATTTTCACCGATTGGAGGTGTGGTGTTGGGAGGCGTTTGGAAAGGTATCCTTATGTTTTTGTATTTTTCATGGTTTTTTACTATTTTTTATTAATTTAAAATATAGAAAAAAATTAATTTTTAAAATTTTTATTTATAAATGTTTTATTAATTTTTTATTTTTTTTACGATTTTTATTATTTTTTTCAATTTATAAATATTTTTTATGATTTTATTATGAATTAAGACATTTCATAATGAATTAATACCATTACGGGTATTTGGGGTAGAAATCAATGTTTAGTCCTACTTTGAGGGAATTAAGTAGTTTTAGTCTTATTTCTGCTTTTTAGGTAAATTTTAGGCCTATTGGGAGTAATTTCTATTGATTCTTCGCATATAAGTTCAGTTAGTCATAGAAAAAAAGGAAAAAATGGATTTTATAATCTCAACTATGTTCGGTCACCATTTAATTATTCGTAGTAGTTGTTATTATCATATCATCCTAACATAGGTGGGCTTTTTCCTGAAATGGTCCCTGCGACTGGTTACCTATTAGCAAAGTAAAAAAAACACATCCAAATTTAGAAACCCTTCTCCCAGCTTCAAAGGCCCAAAACGGTCATGCTATCTTCCTTCCCTGCGCTTCGTTATCGTCAACTTTTCCCTACACGACGCCCATTGGTAGCACAATCTACCTTTATTGTTCTTCCAACAGTGAGTTACACTAGGAAAAGTTCGAGCGCCTCACTTCAAGGGTCCCAAAGCTTGATTTCGACTACAAAGGTAAAGATTAAGTTTTTCATTTTATTTTTAAATGTGCTCACATATACGAAATTAGGGTTAGTTCTTCCTTAATTAACTTCATCACAGTCGTTTAGGTCGAATATTAGGGAAAGTGTGTCAATTCGTTCATTTTCATGTCCGTTTGAAATTGCCTATGTTATTGCAATTTTGGTTCATAACTTCATTGAGTTTGACGTTTATCATAATATGTTTGCTTCTAAATTTCTAGGTTGTATTTCAATAAAAAAGAATGGCTAATTGTACTGGTGTAACACTTCAGATGTGACATGGTGGTACCTTTACGAAGAATAGCAGGGGAGAACTACTATGTTCGGGGACATTGCAGGTGCTTTGATATTGATGCTGATGAATTGTGTTGGTTTTGGTTAGAGGGGTTAGCGAGAAAATGTGGTAAGTATATCAGTATAGATGACATATATTATTTGAAAAAAAGACATACTACCTGCGTCCCGAAAAGGTTACCAAAGTTGATTTTCACGTGGATTAATAAAGTAAAAACTGTGTGGTTGAAATTTGTGCAGAGGAGAAAGAAATAATTTTAGCCACATATTTCTTACTTTAAATAGAAATGTCAAATCTTTTTGGGACATCCAAAAAAGGAAATTTGGCCAACCTTTTCGGGACGGAGAGAGTATATTATTTGATTCCGGGCAAAACCTTTGAGAAAGGATTGAGAAGGGTAAAGTTTGACTTTGGAGTAAGGGAAATGTATAATGTAGTGATGACATCTAGAACAATTGTGTTTGATTGCTAGTGGAAGGAATGAGGGGAAATGAACAGGGTTCGGTGGGTTTAGAAGAAAGGAATTCAGCAACAGGTTTTGTCCCAAGTGAAGGAGTTAGGACACCTCACACAAACACTTCGGAAGTTCCAAGTGCCTTTTTTGAGGAAGAATCACAGCATGATGCTGCAGATGAAAATATGGAAGAGGATGAATCACATGAACGTATACAAGCCGAATTCAATGATCAAGATGATCATAACACTGATGTGCATGTTGAGGATCGGAGGTCTCGCTAGTTGGATCAGAGAATGATACTAGTGATGAATAGTTCATAGAGTGCAGAAGAAAAGTGAGTGGTTCGAATTCCAAGATTCTAGAGATAGCAAAGAAACCGTTGAGGGTCTTCTAGGTGATAAGACACCATTAAAAACAGCTTGTAGAATCAAATGGTCCGGGACAAAAAGAGTGTTTTAGTGATTATGAAGACTCTGAAAATGACATTCACACACCTTCTGAGAGTGAAAACGATGGTACACCTTCTGATTCAGCATCTTCTCTCTCTCTCTCTCTCTCTCTATATATATATATATATATATATATATATATATATATATATATTATATATATATATACACACATACACACATATACGTTAGGGTAAATGTGTTGTTCTCACGTTCTCACGTTAAACAATGTTCTCATTTGATCTTTATTATATATAGATGTATGTATGTACGTATGTATGTATGTATCTTAATATTTATTCAAATATAAATTTGGGTATAATAAAAAGTGATTTAATTTTGTAATCAAAAAACGTGAGGAAAAATGAAGATTTAGACTTAGTTCAATTTTATCAAACAATTTGGTTGTATGTGATTCACATTGTGGGTACTATGCTATGCGAATTAGGATGATTACTTTACAACTTTTACAGTATTACCCCATATAAATATTATAAATGGTACAATATGTGTAATACCCGAGATTAATTGAAAAGGATTAATAATACTACTCATACCAACAAGATGCATTTCCTTTTGAGGGAGCTCACCAGCTAAGAACCCCGAAGTTATGTGTGCTTGCACGTGAGTAGTCTTGGAATGGGTGATGACCCCCTAGGAAGTTTCTCAGAGCGCACACGAGTAAGGACAAAGTGCGCGTTAAAGGCTTGTGGTGGTTTGTGAGGACAATACTAGAGACCTGGAGTAACTACATCGGTTCCAGTGGGGACGGGGTGTTATAAGTGCTATCTGAGCAACCCTGCGACAGTGTGTTGACACGTTGGATATCAGGCAGTTAAACCAAATAGGGGATTAAACCCTGCGACAGTATCATATAATTATTGTATATGATATCACATCATTCAAATAGGGGGTTAAACCAAATGGACCACAAGCAACCGTCAGCCCTCAGATCAAACTCAGAGTTAATCACCTTCAAAGAAGCAAAAGAGCCAAATATGGTCAAAGCAGACCTCTCATCACTCAATCCTAATACAAAAGTCTTACAGCAAAAGAAATAACCAATGTGATCATGAAAAATAAAGAATAAAAAACTAAAATATAAATCTTGCTCCGCCTTCAAGAGCATTACCGCCATCCACCCTCCCGACTACCCAATCTGCTTCAGATTTCCCAGGGGGTCTGGTGATCGGGACCCGCCGCCTCTCCGCTTTTGGTTTGTCATAAGACATGTTATCACCAATTGGATCCTCCTATTTATGTTTCTCTTAGAGCCTCATGTGTTTCTGATCTCCCAATATTTTCTTGGTTCTCATTGAGTCACCTTCCTTTGTTGTGCTATTGCACGTGTTTAATGAACAAAGTGTTATATTAACACATGAGCTACTCCTCCTATCAGGTTGACCTTTTAAGATGGAACTCCAGGTTTTAACATGGTATCAGAGCCAAATCGATCCATGGTGTGGGGCCCTTTATGAAAAATGATGATACGATTATAAAAAAAATACATTTACGACCGGATGAAAAAAACGGACCAATGAAAAGAAAAAATGAATGATGGCACGATTCAGACGAAGTGTCTGGTCGTGAGGAGGGATGTTAAATGTCCCACACCGAAAAAGTTTGGATGAACAAAGTGCTATATTAACACATGGACTACTCCTCATATCAGGTTGACCTTTTAAGAAGGAACCCCAGGTTTTAATAGCATGTGCCTATCGTAGCCTCCCTCGAGCCATGTCCTCCTGCTCCCACTCCACCTGAAGATCAATGTTGCTGTGTTTGAGGTGCCTTCGACTAACCACTTATTTTCTCCTGTAGGACTAGCCCCCCCCCCCCCCCCCCCCCCCCACGGCTCTAAGATCAACCCCATAAAATTTCAACATCATATTATCCCCCTCACATGTCAATGGACAAAACTTATTAGAATTATCAATAACCCCACAAATAAAACAAAAGTTAGGGATTTTTTATACATGAAGTCTACCCAGTGGTCAATCGCCCCCTTTCCTAAGGGTTGTTCATTTTTTCAGAAGTTTTCCAACATCCATACAGACTCTAATACACATATAAGCCTCTCATTTTTCGTCAAATTGGCTTTCATCAGAGCTAATAAACTTTCCAATATAATTACCAACCCTCCTAGCAGTACCTAAATTCATAAAGCCATAAAGGACATTATGGACCTGAACCCAGAATTCAGCCTAATTTAGGCTAACCTTGAGAGGAATATCCTCTGGTGTAACTTCCTTAAGAACCAACAAATTCCTTTCAAACAACCACGGACCACTTTCTGGAACGCGTCTCATATCCACCATATGATAAAAAGTGACAAGATACCTTTTGTCGCCTATCTCTTTAACTGACACACCTTTGCCTGGCTGCCACAAAGAAGACGTAAGGTCCTTGAAGTTCTGGAATTTTATCTTCCGATCTGTGAGAAGGATGTCTACCACCGGAAAACTCGCCCGCCTCTCATCCACCACAACATTGCCAACCTCGTCATCTTCGAAGTTCAGTTCCTCGCCATCCCCTCCAATAGCCATTCTTTTGTATTGATTGACAATATCTTCCATTGAATCCCTTGCTGCTGAAACGAACAAACCAAGTCATAAGACACAACAACCTTCGCTTCGCCTGCAATCGTTCGCCGATCGGGACAGTCGCAGAAGAGCCGTGAACCTTGGACACTAATTAATTCCTCTTGCACGACCGTGAACCACCCACAACAGCCACTCTTCATCAAGGACGATAGCGGAAGTCGGAACCCTAGAGAGGGAGAGACCGCATTTGAAATGTTTTTAGCCTAAGATTATACTTGAATTAGAAAGGTAAACATACAAAACTAATGATTTTTTTCAAAAATATGATTAGTAGGTCTGTAATTAAGTTAAATCCTTCTCACTCGAACACCTATTGAACCGAGTTTGAATGCAAAAGTTATTTGTGCAACAAGTACTTCTTAGCAGTGGAATACACATCATCAGTCATGCACTTATCTGGTAATCTACCCCCACTATCAGATATTCACAATTAATGGTGGGCCATTAAAATGCAACGATCCACTTTTCACGTTTGGCAACGTACAAGTTTGATCATCAATATCTTTCTTTCCTTATTAGTAAAAAATTAAGGAAAATAGATTTTGAAAATTTGAAATGAGAAGAATTTAACAAAAAAATTTAATTTAATTTATAATACATTAATAAATAAAATAGAGTCAAAGTAGAACATGTGAGTAGTGGAAAAAGTCCAATGTTGCATTTTTAAAAAGAACGTGAGGAATATAGGGCTATGGGGTATATACGAGTTTACGGAGCATACATTTACAAGCTCAAAAATGTATAGCCCATTAGGCAAAAAATTACCGACCCAGAAGCGGAGAAGAGCAAAGATAAAGCGATGGAACGAGCGACAGAACGGTCATAGAAGAAGGAGAACAATTTAAGAGTTTGGGAGTTACTGTACATTGCTGAAGACGACGAAGCGCTGAAGAAGACTAGGTTGAAGAGAAGAGGTTTAAAATTTCTGAAACTCATTTGGGGGGGGGACGCGTTTCCGAATTTCTCAAAATTAAAAACCGGCCCGACACACGTTTCAGCCATTTCTCACGTCCGAGAACGTGCGTACGTTTCCAATACGGGGAAACTCTACCTTCCCAGCATTTATGTGCGGTATAGGCTTCAGCTTCCCATTGTTGGACATCACTTGCACGAAGCAGGTAGGGCAGCCGCACACACAAATCCCTAACATAAGACGGAGTCCTACAAGCCTTCATAGAGTCATAAACTTTAACCAATCTACTTCCAAAGACAACTTTGAAGACAACTAATTACATCTCAAAAAATATATACCACAACTTACATACAACTCACAATCAAATGACATACAACTAAATATGAATTACATGCATGTGTTTTTAAAATGAAAGACAACTTCACAACTCTTACAGACTCATCACAATATGACAGACAAGTCATTACAGACAACTCAAAACAAATATAAACAACTAACAAGCAAATGACAGGCAATTAAATACCAATTACAGACATCTATTTTGCAAATGATAGACAACTTCACGAGTCTTACAAACAAATATAGACAACTCAAACCACATCAATGACAAGTACAAAACAAATACATGCATAAGACATTTATGAAGTCTTTACAGATAACTCAAAACAAATACAATCATGTAACAATATCTTACCAAAATGACAGATCGATAACCCTTTTCCATGTGGAGTTTGGACGAAAAAATACCAACAAATGAGGAAAAAAGACCATCTCAAGTCTTTCAATACTTCAACGTTCAAACCTTCGTCCTCCTCTTCCCCGAATGGCGTATTACCTCTGTCACCACCATCACCTTCATCATCAACCTTGTCACCATGGTCTCTCCATGTCAAGCCATCCAAAAGCAACTCATCACTAAAATCAAATATATCATCCCCCATGAGGTCCATTAAAGAAGATGAAGGAAGGAAGCAGATGAGTGGTGTCGTGCACTGTAGCTGCGTCGAAGGGGCTCCAAATTTTGGCGTAAACGTGAGAGTGAGTAGAGGAGATAATGTGAGATTGAGATATTTTTGGAAGGAGGGTAAAAAAATGGTAAAAATGGAAAGACTTTTATACGGGGCGCAAAGGGTACTAAAATAATTTGGGTACCTCATTTATATAAATTGTGTAGAGAGGAATGACGTGAAATACATAACAATACTCTATTTGTTCTTAAAACAGCACTAAAGGCAAACACCTATCTGACCCGTCTCCACCATCGGATCACATATCCAACGGTCGCAACTTCGTGGATTTATTTTTCTCAACAAATCTTCAGATCACATTTCAACATCCGACGGTTGTGATGAGTCAGACCACACAATATGCGGTTGGATATACAGTAGGGAATCGGGTTCCGTAGAGTAATGGTGGACACCAAGCACCTACATTTCGGTGCGTAATAATCAACTCGGAATCGCGCGTTATCAGCGCCCATTTCTCCAAATCCATCCACGTGGCACGCCTTTAGACAGTATCCGTCAGCTTTCCAGGAGCGGTCGCCGCAAAACGGCAGTCGTTTTGCCTTTATCAACCCTTACCCATTCTCTAAACAATTGGCGCCGTAGGGTTTTACTTTAATGCCCTCCACATTTTCCGTAATTACCATCCGGCCATCGTCTTCTCCTTGCTATAAATCCAGGCTTAAACAATCGCTAGGTTTGCCAAACTGAAGACCCTCAGGGCACTTCAAAAGAAATCTTCTCCAGATTTGTTTCGTTTCTGTTTTTTCTGTTATTTTGTTTTTCAAATCTTATATCTCTAGATTTCAGACATGTCTACTTCTTCTAGAAAATCCCTGAGGTCGAGCTTTCAGCGCTCCCTCTCGCCGTCCGGCCGGTTCTTTGCTCCGATGACTGATAAAGATGTCTCATCTTTCGCATCATCAACCAGCTCCAGCTTCTGCTCTTCTCCTTCTACCGGTTACTTCAATAGATCTGCGTCACCAACGCGTGTCAATCTCCACGGATTTGCGCCACCGACGCCGTCCGTTCGTTTCTCTATCGACCGATCTATCTCCCCACGCCGTTCGGTGGCTGTTTCTCACCGAGATCAGGTGGTCCGGAAGCAGAGCATTGGAAATCCGTTGGCGAATCTCCCGAAGAAGACGTGTATGTGTTCTCCTACGACGCATCCAGGTTCGTTTCGTTGTAGTTTGCACAAGAACTTGAACAACAGGCCGTCAATTTCCTACTCGCCGAACCGGCTGAACGCTCGGAGGTCAGCGATGACGAACTCGCTGGTTCGGATCGGGACCGTGGAGGGAGATTTGGTGAAGCGTGCTTTGGCTGCCCTCATCCGGCCTTCTTCACATCAGCAAAGGCGCCGTGGAGATTTCCAGCCTAGACCGAGCCGGCTCTCAAGGATGACGAAAGCAGATGATCTGTGAGTGAGTTTATGGTACAGGTCTGTATTGATTTGAACTGCTTTGTTGAGTGTTCCGGCGGTGGCGTCAGATTCCGGCTGCGTTTTTTTAGTACTCCGATGAATCAAAGCCCTAGCGAACAGATACAGTTTTGGCATTTTCACGGAAGATCCCCCACTTGTAGATATGTATTGCAGCAAACTGATAGCAATCGAAGGACATTTGTGAACTTTTGGCAACCACCTAAAAATCTAAAATGAATTATCTGATTGATCTAAATTTGTAAAACCGGAATAGAGTTCATTGAGAAATACGTGAGGATTGATTGCTTGATTATATGGATTGAATGGAGTTTTGTGTGTGTGGCGTTCGTTTCGTTGTTTTACGGCGACGTTTTCCGCCGTTTCTCTGTTTCACCGCCGTGGTATGCGTTTGCTTTTCGTGTCCAGAAGGTACATGAATTTGAATTGTTTTTTGTTTTCTTTATCTTAATTTTATTATTTTTAATTGTTTATTTATTCGATGACTATTAATTTGTTTCATTATGAAGTTAGGTTTGTGCAGGAATGGCGTCATGGTGTGGAATTCATTGAATTGGAAATTGAAGATTGGACAAGGGTTTATATCCTTCGGACTTTGGACTTTTCTTGAAAGGAAACATTACCTGTGCTGAACTGGAAATGTAGAGATAGTGGGACATTGTTTATCTTCTTAAAAAACGGGGAACCTTGCACTCTTTACCTAAGAAGGCAATTGAAAATTGATTTAACCTAAAAGTTCTATATGGAGTACAACATTGTTTTTCACTTATAAACTTCATACAGATAACAAATTACTACGTATTATTGATGAAATACGGAGTATAAAGTAACATAGGACTAGGAGAATATTTTATCGGGAGAATTCCCTAAATATGAGTAAAACTATTTTGAAATTCCAAAATAGAAGTATCATTTTTTTTATTTTTTGAATAGGAGTAAATTTCTACCAAGATTGACATTACTATGCTTTAAAACATGACATTTTCTTTCAAACTTGGCAGATTATTCCTATTCATGAAATAAAAAATATGATAATCCTATTTTTAGAGCAATTTATTTTAGTCATACTTGCAATTTAGTTTATTCATACTTGAAAACCTAATGATCGGTAAGACTACCCTTGCAAAATCTTATTCTTATTCTTATACACAACAATCCCACATTTAGAGCAATTTAGTTTATTCATGGTACTATTGTTGGCACATTAATACGCCCGTTTTCATATCTTGAATTTTTTTATCTTACTTTTTATATTATTTGTTGTTTCAATTTTTTCTATTTGCTCCTTTCATTTTCTACTTTTCTCACTCTTTTTTGTTCTAATTAATATTCCTTACTTTTTTAATTTCCATAAGATAGCTTTTAATCTTTAATTAATAAAGAGACCATTTTGACATCTTTCTATGTTAATTTTATTAAATATTACGTAGTACTCCGTATCACATTTAAATTTTGTAACCGTTAATTTTTTGAAGTTTTAAATACATTCATTTTTATAACATCAAAAAAGTTTAATAAACTTATAAATAATTGAAAATGAGTCTAATTTCAATAATATTTTTGTAAAAACATTTTGAGCCCGTTTGGTAACTGTTTTTCAGTCATCAGGTTTATCACCAGACTTTTTCTTCAAACTTTTATTTGTGTAGTAATAAGAAAAAGTAAGTTTAGATATACTTTTCTGATTGTATTGGCCGAAGATATTGTAGAAAAAGTTGTTTTTTCATATGATTTTTTCTTTGTTTTATTAATAAAATATATTTTAAATATAATTTTTTCATAAATCAGCAGAACAAGTCGATACATTCACTTCATCCATAATTTCATAAATTTTAACAGAAACAACCGATTATGCCAATGTTTCTGATACCAAACAAGCTCTTTACTATAGAAGGCTTTAAAAAATACGGGTATTAGAATACACTCTCTGAAGTAACTTCCTAGTATATTTGGGGCGAAAATTAAGATAGTAGGTGTTATTATGTGATGGATGGTTGTGCAAAGGAGAGAAAAAAGAGTAAGAATGTATAATAATTCTTGTGAATTACAAATTCTTTATCAAAAAGAGAAAATGGAAGTTTAATTTAGACAATCAAAAAGAAAATTTTGAAATTTAATCGGGGATGAAGGTAGTAGACTAGTAGATTTTATAAGTTCTTTGCCGAGAACAAGTTTGATTTTTAATCTTTCATCTATTATAGTTAATCCTTAAACTTTATTAATCTCCAAAGAAATGTTTTTAAATAGCAACAAGTCATAATGTTTTTTCTTTCTTTAAAAAAACATTCATGATATGTAACATGATAACAACTCTAACGTAAACGAGGTACAATTAGACAAAGAATTCAATGTTTATCGTCTCCCCTTGAACCAGACTTAGAAACTGTCACCTCTAATGAAGCAACCAGAATCGTTGATCCTGAATTCGACTTACTTGAGCCAAAAACTAGTAAACTAAGTTCTCCATCCTCTGTCCTATGTTCTAGAGTCTGGACAAAACAAAAAGCAACAACAATCAAAAGCACACGATGTCCAGCACAAATAACTATAAAAATGAAACCATAATTAAAAGTGATAGAAACTTTAAAACTCCATGTGATCCAAAGCTTCACAGGTTTTGGCGGGTCTGGAGATTCTAGCCCACCTCCTCCCTGTTTTTTGGATCTTCCACAACCATGGCGTCCTCTCCTATCTGCTTCAGCTCTTGCTCCTTTGCTTCCCATGTCCTCCTCCTCTTTTGCTCTCCGGTTCCACTGTTGCTAACCATTGCTTCCTCAGTCATAGAGACATCTTCATCTTCTTGTTTCTGGTTATCCAGATGATGCTGTCCCTGATTCTGGCTGCCAGTAGTGTGCATATACATCCCTGCTTGGTCTCGTCCTATCCTTTTCTAACATACTAGCCATTTATTGCCAATAGTTGGACGGGACCTTCCTCCTCCCGCCCTAAGTCATGGGCCAAAGAGTCGCTTAGACTCTCTATCACCTTTATCATACAGAGATGGGCATAATTTCTCAGCGTGTCCAATGACACCACAAGCAAAGCAGAAGCTAGGTAGTTTTTCATATGAGTTAATTATCAAAATAGGACTAGAAGTCATTCACTTTTCACAAATAAGACCAAAAAATGAACTATGTTTGCATAGGACTAATTATGTGTACCTTGGACAATTATACCCTTATAGCTATTAAAATGTTTTAGAGTTAATTATCAAATAGGACTAAAAGTCATTCACTTTTCACAAATAGGACCAAAAAATGAACTATGTTTGCATAGGACTAATTATGTGTACCTTGGACAATTATACCCTTATAGCTATTAAAATGTTTTAATTCCTAATAAAATAATAAAAAATAATAAAAATTCGTAAAAAATACTAAAAATTAAGAAAAACATTTCGATATTAAAATTTTAATTAATTTTTTTTCAAAAAATTAAAAAAATTAAAAAAAAATAAAAAAAATAAAAACTCAACACCACCTCTGCCGCCTCAGCACCACCACCTCCAGCCACCAGAGGAAAAAAATGTCAAGTTCATTATGAATTCCATAAATATGGCAGAAAAAAATGAAAATGTTGACATTCGAAAAGAGAAATATGCCACTTTTTTGGCATTTTCAGAAAAAATGGCATTTTTCTGGGAAAATGGCATTTTTTTCATCGGCCGGAGGTGGTGGTGCTGGGAGGTAGTACAGGCGGTGGGAAAGGCATCCATATTTTTTTAAATTTTTTTACGGAGTTTTACTATTTTTTTATTATTTTTTTAAAAAATAAAATTATTTAAAAAAAAAGTTTTTGAATTTTTTATTCTATAAAAATTTTTATAAATTTTTTAATTATATTTCTACGAATTTTTGATTTTTTTTTGTCGAATTTATTATGAATTAAACATTTAATTATGGATTTTGACTATTTTTAATTCATATTTAATGGAAGGGTAAGAATGGAATGCAAAAATAGGTATGTTTCCAATATGACTCATATGGTCCTATTTTGGAATAAAAACATAGCAAGTCTTATTTTAGGTTTTTGCCATAGTTTTAGTCCTATTTGAACTAATTTCTAAATGTTTTAATTCCTAATAAAATAATAAAAATAATAAAACATCGTAAAACATACTAAAAAATTAAGAAAAACATTTCGATATTAAAAATGTAATTAATTTTTTTTTCAAAAAATTAAAAAAAATAATAAAAATTAAAAAAAATAAAAACTCAAAAAAAAAATCGCCGCCGCCTCTGCCGTCTCAGCACCACCACCTCCAGTCATCAGGGGAAAAAATGCCAAGTTCATTACGAATGCCATATTTATGGCAGAAAAAAATGAAAACGTTGCCATTCGAAAAGAGAAATATGCCACTTTTTTGGCATTTTAAGGAAAAAATGGCATTTTTCTGGGAAAATTGCATTTTTTTCATCGCCCGGAGGTGGTGGTGCTGGGAAAGGCATCCATATTTTTTTTAAATTTTGTTTACGGAGTTTTACTATTTTTTATTAATTTTTCTAAAAATAAAATTATTTAAAAAAAGTTTTTGAATTTTTTAATTTATAAAAATTTTATAAATTTTTTAATTGTATTTTTACGAATTTTTGAATTTTTTTCGAATTTATTATGAATTAAACTTTAATTATGACTTTTGACTATTTTTAATTCATATTTAATGGAAGGATAAGAATGGAATGCCAAAATAGGTATGTTTCCAATAGGACTCATATGGTCCTATTTTGGAATAAAAACATAGCAAGTCCTATTTTAGGTTTTTGCCATAGTTTTAGTCATATTTGAACTAATTTCTATTTTCATATTTGAAATCAACCCAATACCCTTCCCCTCTACTTTTTTACAAAGTAGTGCCCACTTTTAAAGGTTTCCTCACATCCAGTGTAACCCCGAGTCTCATATCGGCTTCCCACTTTTCATCAAACTGTTTATCATCCCAGGATAAAAAAATTCCCAGATAATTCCCTATCTTACGAGCATATCCCAGGTTTGAAAGACCATACAGAATATTATGAACCTGAACCCAAAAATCAGCCGTATCTAGAGGTATTGTCTGAAGCATATCACCCTGTTTAATACTACCTCCGTCCCCTTATGTTTGGGACAAAGGGGTGTGGTGTAGTTTTTAAGAAAAAGTAGAATTGTGTGGTTGGTATTGAGTTGATAAAGTGTGAATAAAGTAAGATAAATTCCAACCACTCAAATATTACCAAATATGGTATGGACAAACTTAATGGGACGGACGAAAAAGGTAAAACGGGACAAAGTTAAGGGAACAGAGGGAGTAGCTTTTAACTCTAGCAGATTCTGGTCGAACAACAAGGGACCATTATCCAGCACATGATTCATATCAATTTTGTGATAAAAAGTAAATAAATACATCTCCCCAATCCCCTGAATCAACACTCCTTTACCAGGACGTCAGGACACTAGTAAAAAAGTGGCTTATAGTGACATTAAATTAGTGTCACTAAACGATTTAGTGACACTCTGAAAGTGTCACAGAAAAACGGGCTAGTGACGTTAAACTTAGTGTCACCGTCAACAAGTCACTTTTGTGTCACAAAATTATGACATATGAACATCATAGAGAACTGTGATATATACGTATCAAGGATTTTTATGATACCAATGCATCATGTTTTTTAGTGATATATACATATACTACTAGAAAAATGTCTTACAGTGACATCAAATTAGTATCACTAATTGTTTTTGTGACACTCAAAAAGTGTCAATGAGAGTGGGGGCTACTAAAACTAATGTCATAACAAAACATAATATATTCTTTTATATATATATATATATTTATAGTAGTGTATATATTAATACAAATAAACCAAAACATTAACATTAACCAAAATCTCAAACATTTTATTTATATTTCAAGATTTCATATGAATGTACATGATTCATAAGGGCATACCCCAGAAATCATAATTGTAATTAAGTACAACTCAAAAAAAAAACACAAGTTACAATTATAGCTAGAATTGAGATAAAGCACGGTTTATAGGACATAAAACGATCTTTAAGTGCCAAGCCCCAACAACGGCATTCTTATGGAAGTAATCAACAACACGTGCTCCCTTGTACCCATTAACATCAACTTGTCACTGCACTACACCATATATAGAGACTAAACAATAACAAAATGGATGATTGGAGAAGTATTAAAAAAGATCACTTATCACCTGTGATAATAGAGAATTTAGTAAAAAAAAGTACAATGCATTAAAAAAGATCACTTATCATTTTATGATTTTCTCAATGATACTAGATAATAACTTATCAAACTGAATAACAGGGGCAAACAATACAAATAAAAGAGTTTTTTACCAATTTCTCATAGTGATCTCTCTTGGTGGTAGTGCACACCTCACCTCGAGTGTACACATCGAATGAGCATGTACTTCAAAGTCATATAATTGACCAAATCTATTTTACAAAGTTCTACACCCAAAGTCCAAACTATTATACTCCCTCTGTCCCTAAAAGGATTGCCAAGTTTGATTGGCACGTAGAATAATAAAGTAAAAACTGTGTGATAGAGATTTGTGCAGATGAGAGAGAAATAACAGGAACCACAAATTGATTGGTTAAAAGGGAAAGTGTCAAAGTTTTTGGGACAACCAAAAAAGAAAAGTTGACAAAGTTATAAGAGACGGGGGGTATCTCACATTTTGCAAAGCACACAAAATTGGTGACTTAGGCTAAAATACGACTAAAGAAGTCAAAAGATATGACACGCGAACTCAAGTAAATGAGCAGAGATTAATACCATAACATGTAAAAGTATATTGCAGTGATTGTGTTGAGCAGCCCATCAGAGTGAGGTAAATAAGCAGATATTAATACCATAACTCGCATGACAACCCATAATCATTCGCAACTATCTTATTCAATATTAAATTTACTGTTTACCAATCAATATATATTAATGATTAAAAACAATTATCTAAAATTTGAAATAACTTTAATTTACAGTTTGCACCCTAACTAATTAACAACACTTTACAGTATAGTACTTTATGGCTCAAACTATTCATACATAAATTAAAGACACAACATGTATTACCTTTCATATATAAGTCTTGTGCTCAAAACTGCTAATGCTTTGACCCACCTGAAATATACAAAAAAAAAAAAGATTGCTCAAAAATATTAAGATTTTAGGTCAGCTAATTCAAAAACAATTTAGTTTGTGGTTCTTTCAAGTGTATGAGTCAACAGACCATGCCCACATAAACTGCATAACATCATAAGGTAAGTATATCTTAAAGGAGGAGTCATATCCCTGCCCATGAAAAGAAATAGAAATCCCAAGCATCAGAGGCTCAAATATACTTTCATTAAAAAGATTATGAAAAGAAATCAGGACATCAATACTTGATGCATACAAACCTCAAACTATTCAGACATAAAAATTCTTTCGAAATGGCAAGGCATCACGCACCAGGAGCAGAAGCAAATTGCCCAGTCTGCATCCTTTGCTTGGCTACTTGTGATTTTTTAGTAGCATGAGCTAGAGTCAGTGCAAGATGATAAGGCTAAACCTGCCAGCTCTCAACTACCTCTATATCCCTGAAATTTGTTTTATACCAAAAAATATATTTTTGATATCTACTTTTACCATAAACTTTAACTACAATAACAATTTTTAGCTTTAAAATCAAAGTTTTAACATTTTGAATTCAAGTTAACTTGCACCTTTTAGAGAATAGCCTTGGGATGATAGCCCTAAATGAATTTACATACAAAAAACTAAACCGTAGAGTATTTCATAACATAATAAGCATTCTTACAAACACAAAAAAAAAACCTCAAAAATAAAGTAGACTAGCTTCCCATGTATAGACAATTGTTGGGTGTGTCTCAGAAAAACGAAGAAATATTAATTAATAAAAATAATTAATTAATTAAATAGCCAAAGAAAAACAGAAAAAGAGATGGGACAGAGTTTAGCCAGAGCTCATGCTACGCACGATGTCCTTAAAACGTATTCGTCACCTCCCACGATGCTAGGAGCGTTGCAACGACCGTTTCTCATGATACGGTGACTAACGAACTAACGTTTGAGCACACAAACGAAAGTTCCGGTGAACGGGAA